CGTGACAACTCTTACGCACGACAAAAGCGGAGGGGAATAGTTAGACATTGATCCTAAGGAGAGGGGCTAATCCTAACTTCCTTGAGCTAGGCCTCACTTATTTATAAGATGGTCATGGGCTTGGATAAAGCAATAGACAACTAGTGCTATTGCTCCCACTCCAACCTGCTCAACCTCATAATCTGAGTTTTAAAACTTCCTGGTGGACCATGTCAAGTTGATGGACCATCCCCTCTATGAAAAAATAAAAAATATACCTCTTCTTCCAACACTTACTGGAAGAAGATACCCTCGAGACTTGACAATCGAGATAGGGAAAAAGGAAATAAGCCAAATGTATGAGATTCATAGTGAAACAAACTTATAGCAAGGTTGGCGATGGGGGGATTCTAAGCCTTCCACACTCCTTGACAAAGGCATCAAAATAGTGCTAGGTGTATGGCGCCACCTGAGCGAGAGAAACTTTTTAAAATTTAGGATTTTATAATAAGAAAAGGATGGAGGGGGAATTTAAGCCCTACCTCTGTCGATGGAGGTGCAAAAGAAATGGTGTGACATAAGGCCGAGGAGCTATCAATCGAACTCAATAGGAATGTTGAAAACTTCCTTGGCATGTACCAGGTCAACCTCAAGATCCGAGAGTCAAAGTCATACAACCTCGGCCCAATCTATAAGGTTTGAATGCTCGAGGGATTCACCTCCAAAGAGGTAGCCTTCCTCATCGTGGTGACTTTGATCCCTTCACTAGCAGAGAAAGTTATGAAAATTGATGCTAAGGGTGACGATAGGATCAGAGAATCGCTTAACTCATGGTTGGATGTTGGGGATGAACTTGATGAGGAAGACATTCGAACCTATTTTGAAATCTGAAGGGTTTGAAGGCTGAGGAATTGAAGGTTCAAATGTCCAAGGATACGAAGGCTTCGAGAATATCTGAAGGTGTGAAGGGTACGAATGGCTCAAGGGGCTATTTATAGTACCCGAGTGACTTTTTGGTTAATCGCCTCGCTAGCTGGATAGGATACATGGCAGTTTTCTATTTATCAAAGCCGATCGACCAAGAATATTACAATCTTTTGAATCCCCCGATGGTGCATGCAACCTCCACGTGGATGCCCTTATGGGAGCCACATCAACCCAGTGATAGTCAAAGCGATGGGAACCAAATTCAGCTAGATTTGTTGAGTAATCGAATCAACACACCCACTAGAGATCGAAGCAAAAGTGTCGTATGCGGGTCTACGTGTTGTAACCTGGTGGAGAAAGAGAATCCCACGTAAACAAGGCATGCGTCCTATGCATGGTCCATCATCTGATCATCCGAACATTGGGTCATTTTGTCAACCAGTCGAATGCTAAACCTTTTAGCCAACCAATCAAATGGTTGAACACATGGCCTTCTTATCAATCGTCCAAGTAAATTACAAACCATAGTTTACAATCTAAGCATGTATATCGACGACGCACAACCTAGGGGCCAAGCATGTAAATCGACGAAGCATAGCCTAGGGGCCAAGTGTTCATATCGACGATGCATAGCCTATAGGCCAAATGTATATTTCAACTATGCATGATCTAGCATCTAGTGCACATTTATACAACACTAGGTTGAACAACCTTAAAGTTAGTGACCCACCATTCAAGTGAGAGACTAAAATCACCATTTATTGAGCTTCGAATTGATAGCTCTGCGACCTAATGACCCTAGAGCAAGGGGGCTAGCGATGGTGAGAAATAACATAGCAAGCACGTAAGTTGCCACATGGTAACACGTGGCCGATAGGCCAATTGTCCAAAGTTTTTGTCGATTAGATATGGCTTGCATGTGGTAGTCGGATCCGAGAATGTGTGACCATCACGAGTTACACATAGCCAAACGCACAACAGTCCGAATGCCATGATTGGTGCGAACAAATAACGTAGGCGTTAAGAATAGGAAACATCATAGCAACCTAAACTCGTGAGCTTACTTACACATGTGTAAGGTACGCACTTACACATGACTTCTCTTTGAGCACCAATCGACTAGTTCGACCAGTCTAAGCAACCTAAACTCGTGAACTTACTTGATGATCGAAGGAGCATTTATCGAGAACGCCCCTGAGTTTTTTACAAGATCGACACTTTGGAGAACTACCATATAGAACTAAAATAGTCGATTGAATCCAAATCATTGCTTCAGACAATCAGAATCTTCAGAATCTACGCTAGCAATAATTGTACAAGAAAATGTTTAGAATTTACTTTGTCATACTTTGTAACCTTTGTTTTGTTGCATACTTTGTAACCTTTGTTGCATTGACACTTGTGTGCGGGAATTTTGCAACAAAGGTTTTTCCAAATTAAGGATCTTAGACTTTTTTCTTTTCTTTTTTAACAAAACATCACTCATCCCAACTCCTTTGAACCATGGATGACACGTAAGTAGTTGAGGTCTAAATCTTTTGTCTAAGATCCCTGCAGATTTCTACATTGCTGAGCCAAATGATGACACCCACCAGGCAAAAGAGAGGAGCTAATCCACTACTTATCAATTTAGAATAAAATCTCGGAGGAATGACATTTGTTTAAGCTGACCAATGGATTCAATCATCATGAGATTTTATTACCTTTGGACATGGCTACTGTGTTGACCGAATAGCACGAAAAGAACAAGAGTTGTATCTGCTACCACATCTGCAGCTGGGATCTTAGCAGCGGATTACTGTTCTAAATGGGTGTTCTGAACAATAATGAATCACCTATTGCGAAGAGAACAAATAACTTGAAACAACAGTAATTTCTTTGTCTTCCTCCAAGATGATCAAACATAAATCACAGAAATCGTGGTACTAAATGAGATTAAATAGCATGTGTTTGTCACATCACTCTCACGTGTAATAATTTTCACAGTATCCATGCAGGGTAACACCTTTTTTTGCGGAATTTCTACAATAATTTCACTAGTATGGCAATCTACCAACCCCATTCTTTTGACAAGGCTAAGCATAGAAAAATACAAGACATCTACCTCAAATTCTGAGCAAATCACCTAAAGCAAATCACCTGTATTTCCCGAGCTCCCTTTTCTTCTTAATCGTCCGGGCTCCATGATAAACAAAAGCATCAATAATTCCAGAAACAGTGAAGACACCTGAGAATCATGCAGAATCAGTTTCTGACTTAACCAACTTCTTGTTCAGGAAAAGCCAACAAAAAATATTTCAAACAACTAATTACCAGTTGAAGGCAGTACAAACAGAGAAGAATAAAGAAAACAAAAATGCACAAGCTGCTGCACTTGTAAACTATGAGATCTTAAGAGGGTCTAGACACAGTTATACTAGTTGGTGGTTCACCCCCATCTTTTTTGTTTTAGTTTTGAAGCAGTAGTTATTATCTAACCTATGCTAATATCTTAACCTGTCTAGTAATATTTACAAATATTAAATGAAAGTGGGATGTACATCATCACTGCTCATTGATGGTTTACTCAGTAGTTTAGCTCAAACAAGAGAAAAAATCCTAAATTGTTTCAAGTTGCATAGAAGATAAATTACAAACCTCCAATTATAGCACATAATTGAGTCAGGAAGTGAAGAATTGATCGATTTTCCTCTGTAAAAATCACCTGCAACACATTCAAGTAACAAAAGATTAGAATAAAGAATAAAAAAAGATATACATGCAATCCATTTAGACATCAAATAATGCAAGCATAAATTCCTGAAAACCTGCAAGAATACAAAGATTTAACCCTGACATCATTTTCACCACCAAGAATAAAAGGTCTTAAATGCAAAGTAATATTCCACTTGACATAATGAACTAATGATACATCAGACATATTTCATTTATAGCAATGCTCCTGTCAACAATGTCATGTTTAATCAGAATTATGCAGCTCTGAATACTGCAGATGCTCGTAAAACTGACTGTATCTTGACACTTAATTGGCCATCTACCAAATTCCTTCTTGAACTAAAAAATCCATCAACAAATTTTTAGGTCTGATCTATTTCCTACATATTGTCATGTATGCCTTCTTGCAAGCAAGGTTCGCAATACCGTACCGTACCGGAGTTTCGATCTGGGCTCGGTACCGGTACGGTACGGTATACCGCTCGGTACACCCAGGTGTACCGAGCGGTATATTCAGGCATGCCGAGCAGTGTAGCACTGCTACAGTACTGCTACAGTGTCGGAACGGTAACATATGGTCCGCGTACCGAAAGTCTGTCGGACCGGTACGTACCGCCCGTACTGGGCGGTACGGACCGGTACAGAAAACCATGCTTGCAAGTACTTCAAATTTAATCCAAAACCTCTCTGTTTGAAGTGGTAAAACTGAGTACATTGACTCTCCCTATATCCACATTAGAGGAAGCCTCTTGCACTAGGCCACCTTATTTGGTAAAACTTCTAAATCCCCATGCATAATGCAAACTTCTGAAAGAAATTTGTGGATGAATGAATCGTGGTAGAATCAACATGATAGAGGTAACATCAGAATATAGCTTTCAGTTGTGATTCACAGAAGTCTGACCATCGCTTCAAGTTCTAAATCTAAGTTACAGAAAACCCTCACTACAAAGTGGAAATTTTGAATGGCTGTTTGATAAAGAATTAGATTACGGCCCTTTCATTCTTTGACAATGATCTGTGTCCCATCTGACAAGCAACATAAAAGATGGAATGAAAGCCTTCATCAAACTTCATATTCCCAAATGCAAACCAGATTATCAACCTTATGTTGACAACTACTTGGTTTTGAGAAACATCCTTGTTCACAAAGTTTGACAAAAAGAATGGCCCCATCAAAAAGAAACCATTTGACAAAAAAAAATCTTACCTTTGCACAAATGAGAAAGCATTTGGAAGAACAGAATTATAGTCATCACAAAGCATTGTTTGCTACAAATCAAATGTGACTAGGAAACAATAGAAAATAAAATATAGATGAATATTCTTTCGAAAGGTTCTAATTCTATTTATATATGTATCAAATAAGAATTTAAACAGAGACGAAAACTAGGAAAAGTCATACTAAATATCAGCATTCTCATCTATGTGGAAGGCAACATTTTAGCATGATTATTTATAGATATTGTCTCTCCTATACGCACATGAGCATTCTTCACATGCTTTCTCTCTGGTCAGGTTTACAAATAAGTAATCATGTTTGTGCTGCTCACCTTAATTGGTGAAAAGTCATAAAAGAAGTAAACCCCAGGAAGGGGTCTTGGATATACGCTTTCATCTCTGAAGTGCTCAGTCACTGAAAACTGCAAAATTAGGAATAACACTCACATTCAACAAGTTTTTCATTCATTCAAAGATAATAATTTCACATCAAAGTCAACTTTACTTGATTTGAATTAATCTTGTGTCCTCTGATGCCATGGTAGATAGTTGGAACTACCTGCAAAGTTAACAAGAAAAAACTCTTTGTGACTAATCTATGCAAAATTAAAATAACTCTGCACATTTGAAGCCAATCAATGGAGACAGTCAGTTTTAAGTTTTTGTGACATTTAATTGTAGGTAATGCGCTCACTTTGATGAAATACTGATACATCCCAAATGATCCTCCTTGTTTCCACTGTGCTCTGCATTTTAACAGAACTATAATCATTAGAAATGATGCACTGGCCGCAAAAAATGAGTACAATGAATGAAAATATTCATTATGAGTATTATTATAGAAAACAAATATTCTATGAACTTACCGATCAAGGGGGTTTACCACACCTGGGAACTCTTTTCCAAATGATAGTTTGTTTATTCTGTGGCTTATCTGTTGGTTGTAGTAAATAAAATTAGATATGTTGGAACTTCCAGAAATAGGAAAAGAAACTATTTACACTATTCCTTCCTTTCAATATGATGCTCACATTATAGCTTTCAGTTTGGAAGGCCAATAGATCATGCGCATGAATGCCCGATTGATGGAAGCTTTTTCCAGGGGAAAAGTGGAAATTTCCTGCTACTTTGCTGACATCCAAGAAACCATGGATGTTACATCCTTCCCCCTCTTCATCTTTGATCTTTTGAAAGAATCCTTCTCTTGTGCACTGGAATGGCAGTTCTAGATCAACATTAATTGAAACATGAAGCAAACATGAAGAACTGAAGATGAGAGAGATGTTAAAACTGACAAATCTAGTAGCAAAATGCAAGTTAATATGTAACCTAACAGGTATGTCACAACTGATAAGTCTGATATGGAAAAAATGTCTTAAAATCTAACCAAGCCTCTTTTTTTTTTCTCAGTCTTCTATCTCACTCACCGCTTGCCTCCCACTAGCCACAACGAGTGGAAAGATATTATTCCCCTATTTTTATTTATTTCTTTGTTATCATGTATTGGCTCTTCAGATTTGTGCACAATTTTTGGTTCTTTCTGCTGCAGAATATTTTTCTGTTCTTGTTCCATTTAGGTTTCCTTTGATTTCTGCACTGTTTTGCTGCCATTGTGTTTGTTTCCTTATTTAGTCACCTTTTCCATTCAGTGATCAGCTTCTTTAGTCCTGCTTTTTTTTTCTGTTTCCTGAACAGTTATTTTGGTCATTTTTCACCTTTTTCTCCCCTGCTACTTCTCATTTTCTTTATTAAATTTGTTTGGCTGTTTGTGCAAGAATTTTTTTTTGTTCTCCTGCTTTTCTATTTTTTATTTCTGCATTGATTCATTTCTGTGTTATCTTTTTTTTTTCAATTTTGAACATTCTTGTTCTAGGTGGCCACATATGTGGATGGCAAAGTTCATATTTTGGAGAATGTTGTGGTTTCTCATGTTTCATAAAAGACAATAACAATCCACAAAAGACTAGTCCACAATTGTTGTGGTCTCTCCAATGAATATTTGCAATTCAAATCATTTATGTTTTGCTATAGATAATAACTAATAACTTGTATAATAGAATATCTAGATCAACATTTATATAATTTTTAGGAACCTGCCTAAACTCCTAGGCCTTCTGCCTAGGCCTGTTAAAGGATCACTATCTGGGACTGCCTAGGTCTTTTAATCACCATGCAACTCAAAATCTAATAACATCAACTCTCTTGCAAACAGACAAATAATAGTTACACAGAACTAGATATGTACCCTTTGCATTTTGCACTAACATTTTCTGAGATGATTGAGAAAATGCTAATGCTAATGATATATATTCATAGAGAGAATCAACCTTAAGAGAACCTAACTTGAAACAATTAGCTACAGAAATGTATTGCTCACCTGTCACAGGTTGCAAATTAAGTTAAGATACTATGACGTTATATGTTATGTTGTCCAATACCAAAAGAGAGAAAAATGTAAAAGAGAAAAAAATGTAAATCATCAGTTGGAGTATAAACCTCTTTCTATGATAAGTGAGAATTGAATTGCTTCATAACAAAGATGTGCAAAAACAAGATAAGTTGAAGATAGGAGATGACATTATAAGAACCTGGTCGATCATATCAGGATTCGTTAGAGCCCATCCTTTCTTCCGGTATGCTTCACGAACCTCTTCACATGAATTGCAGCATTGATCATCTGACTAAAAAATATAGTGTAAGCAACTCAAAATTCTTTGATTGTTGACAACATCAGACACCGCAACAAAGAAAAACTATGAACCAAATCAATTATTGGGTTCAATTATCAATTATAGCAACTTACAGTTTCTGCACCATAACAAGTACCACAGTAAGCTTCATTATGATCAAGCCTTCCCCCATGCTTTTGTAAAGGCCTATCAATCTGTGTAAAACAGAGAAGCATGATAGTCTTGTGTCAGATAAAAACATTGAATTAACTTAGAATACATTGGCTAAAGGGAAAGCCCATCCTATACAAGATATTGGGGCTATTGGACTACACAATTCTTTACACAGTGACAGGCTGGCTAAATTTAATGGAATTAATATACCACTCTTCCTCAACACAACCCAGTATCTTGACTCCATATTTACATTGTCTCTAACATTAATTAGAGTCTTACATATGTGTAAAACTTTGCCCAAGCTTAAAAGACACCATGACATTTTAAATGTTCAATAATCACTTCACAGACACAATATATGAACTAGATGCATCTCATATATCAAAATCCTAATTTTTTTGTTAAGGAAGAAAAGAATCTGGAAAGTGATTTCATGTATATATATCAAACCTGCTTAAAAGAATCTAGTAATCTGACAGAAACACCTTGGTCATAAACCTAAACATCATAAAGTTGATGCTTCCTTGAATTTTAAATGCATAACGAAAATAACAGTGTCCAAAATGCCTGATCACATTTCTATAAAACTTATTAGCCAGAAAATAGACAGCTCTCAGGATATATCAATCTAATTTAACATGTAGAAAGAAGATATAATAAGTGATTAGGCAAAAATCACGAAGCACAAAAAAGTTAGAATCCAGTCCAATGACAACAAGAGATTTCTTGCATAATTCTTATTAATTATGTAAAACTAATACTTGATTAGCATAGTAGAAGTTACCAACCTTTGGGGCACCAATACCTCCCTGCCTTGACTCGATAACATTCCCAAGATGATCTAATCTTTTCTTTGTTATATCATGCCTCTGCAAGTAGATGGACATAAAAAGGAACATAGCTGTCAAGGGAGGTAAATAGAATGGTCCATTCAACAAGGAAATTCAATATAAGAAAAGCCTCCCTAACATGAAGAGGAAAGTCTAGAAACATACAATATCATAGTGCTGCTCCCCGCTTATGTCAACTGTATCAACGCTAAGAAGCGTACAAGGAAGAGATGGAAACGTAATATCAAACTGCAAAACAAAGAGTATGAATTATCACTTTTTAATGATGCAATTGATGTTCGGAAGCTCTAGTTTGCAAGTATGATGTTGGCAAAGGAAAAAAGAAGTTATCAAATGCCACTAATATCCCACTTGGGTTATAACAAAAAAATGATTAGCAATGAAACCAATAAAAAGATTTCCGCTGCATCCAGCAAATATAAAATAATGGAGTTTAAGTAGATATACAATTAAATGCTTAGGTTTAAACTCAAGATTTCTGCGAATATAGCAGGTCCAAAACTTATAAGCATAAAAGATTCTTGTGCAAATATCACAGGCTTAAGATGCAAGGTGTGTTGCTAGTCTGTCTAAATATGTTGTACAAACAATAGTGTACCACCAATCAATTGCAATGTAGGCTCAATACTTACGTTAACATGTAACCTCTCTCCTCTTGAAGTATCCACAATCAGCTTAGTCTCAGTTGCTGAGTAAAGAAAAAGTCCTGCAGCAATAATAGCAAAGCACATTTATATGATACTCTAAGAACTATAAATATTTTTTATGCATATAATGTTTGGGTTTAGAAAAACAATAAGAAGAAATTATCTTGTCACAAAAAGAAACATTGATCACAAAAATAAAAGATATGTAGGAAAAGTTTGACCACGGATTCAAAAATAAAACCAACTGTTGATGCTGAAGTGAATCAGGTCACACATTTGTTTTCATGACAATGGTTCCTGCAAAACTTGAAATGGCATATGTATCCCACAAAAGGTTACACTGTTTTCTGAGCCCTGTTATCACACTCTTAGCAACACAAGCCTTACATATGCAATTAGCTCTGAAAGGAGAGCTCCAAGCAGGGCTCAGCTCACAAGCAAGGCCACAATCATGAGACCCTGCCAAATGCCAACGTGAAGTTAGACTTGCATAAGGCATACTGGCATGCCACCTTTTCTTTGTAAACCTAAATTGTCATTGTCAGATCTAGCTGTAACCCTTAGGTGTTCGTTGATATGAACAGATTAGTGGGCACTGGGCACCCACCTAATTTAATTGTTGTCCCATGTCCATCAACCCAAACTATCACATATAAGTTAACTTGAGTAATCTACAAGTAACAAAGTCTGGTTGCACACCTAGGCGATTGCCTAAGCTATTGTTAACCGAACTAGGAAGATATTGTGAATAGAAATGAGGATAACATAACAATGAACGAAAAAAAAATCCTCCAATTCATTACAGTCATGTTGGCCCAACTTGCTTGCCAAAGCATAATTGTTTCCAATAGCATATTTTCCAAGAAAAATATGACAAAGGATGAACAGATTATATTATAGGCTTAATAGCTAAATGCTAATGCACTAAAATGGGAAAAAAAATAATGCTATGAAATTGTGAGTTCAAAAAGTTGCAATATGCTAAGATGCTTAAGAACAAAGAAAAGAATCAGGATCCATGTTTTAGCATCCTTAACGATAACCTAGTTTGTTTCCTGGAGTTCCTGCATTTTATTGTATACTATCCATTTTAAATTTCAAATTTTTGGTGTTCTTGTTAGCAGAGGTTGTCTTATGGATATCAGAAGCTACATTTAATGAGAAAATGCTGGAACCACTGTGCATATATCTCCTATTTAAGATCAAAGTATATGCAAGCATGCTGACGTAAAAAAAAATCAGGCTTATATTTTCAATATCCATCCAATAAGAAGGCTAGGTTAGCAACAAACACGAGTGCAACTAATTTTAGAAAACTACAACTTAACTATTTCGCCTCTAAATAAAGAATTGAATCTATGTCTCTATAATAGTCTAGAAGGATTTTCATTTTTCTATGCAAAGCAACATGATCAGCCAAATATTGCACATCAGGTAAGCTGGAAAAGAAACCTGAACCGGAGACCTAAAAAGAAATGCTTTTTGAGAACGACAGCAACAACTCAAAACGAACTGAAACGGAAAACCCCTTTTTCCTAAGAAAACAACATCTCTGCAGCCGTTACATAATTAATACAACCAAAACCAATTATCTCATCGTAACATACCCAATCATAAGAGTCCATCACAAAAGAACCAAATCAACTAATAAAGCATATTTGATCGCCAAGCGGACCATTTTGAAAACGAGAAAAGAAGAAGTCAATCACCAAGATATCGAAAGGACTCACTAGTTTCTGAGATGAACAGCAAGAGTATGATGATGGAAGAGACGACGGTGATGACGCCTCCGGAGAAGGTCCGGCTGTAGAAATCCTCGTTAATTTTTGGGTACGCATCCAGATTCTTGAGCTTGTTAAGGATCTCCATGTCGAACGCCCACCGACGGCCCTGAAAACGCCCTATACCTTGGAACGGAAGGTAATCTAGGGTTTCTACCGGCGCTCCATCGGCGCCGAGGGCTGTCGGTGTCTTCAAGAGAGGCCCCCCGGAAAGCTCGTAATACGAAAGAAGGACCTCCGTCTTCCTTCACCGGCCCAATATATAGAGAGAAAGGGGCTATTTTGTGATTAAGGAAAGGTAAGGGAGTTAATATGTTAAACCAAAACCCATGCGGTGGAGTGGCTCTTTGTAAATTTGTGAAACGGAGGGTCGTTAGGTGAGAAGATTTGTGTACGACCATTATTAGTAAGAACGCGGAAGGTGAGTTGACCGACTCGGATCTTAAACGTACTTGTCATTGCCTGGCGTCTCGCATCAGGCGAGGAATTCGTAGAAGATGGGGCCTCAATCCTAGCCGTCCGATCCGGATGGAATCGGCGATCAGGACACCTACCGAATCGGACGGATGGAGCTTCGCGCATATCACGCGGGTTAAAGCCCGCGTACGGATCGGATCCCGCTCGCTATTCCGGAGAAGGCGATACACGTAATCCGGCTTTGTCCGATGTGGCTCCGTCAGGAACCTAACATGTGGGACCCACTAGATAGTGAGCCGCGCAGGGAAGTTTTGGGTAAAAATTTAGGATACAAATATTATAAATCCAAGCAGAACAACCGTGCAATGAGCAGGAAGAGTAAAAAAAGATTGTGATAAATAAATGTAAAGTAGAATAAAAATAAATTTGGTAAAGAAATGAATGCAATTCCATCGTCAAAATGTGCATTGTTTCTTTCTTTCAGTTTTAATGATTTGACAAAATAATACGCGTACCTGAAGGAAACATATTCATCGTTCTGTGCAAAGACATCATTAATCCCTCCCTCGATGATACGGAGAAAAAAAAAGGGGCGACATGTTAGATTACGGGTTCCCAAAAACACAAAAAAAAAAAAACAAAGTTTTCAACCTAAAGATGGCATCGGTTTAGATCGATGTTGACCAACCAAACGAGTGCTATGTGTTTTGTTGACCTTTATAGAAATTATTAAGTCATGATTGTCACTATTCAAATTCATTCTTTGAAAAGACACCTACAGACATAATTCACTATATAAGAATTGTATGCGCTGTGTGGGTCCCCGAACAATTTTATCCTTTCAATGTGGGTGAATCCTATAATCACTCGTGAGAACTTATTGATCCACCTTACATGATCTTACTCTTTCGATGTTGCTGAATCCTAGATACCTCTTCTATGGTGTGTATCATTTGATAGAGGTCCTATCATTATTTATCTTCTTTATTCACAAAGTCTGTAAATTGAGATAAATCTTATAAGGCACTTTTGAGAGTAAATGTGATTTTAATTTTATAATGCATTGATTCTCCTGCTACTTAATCGGGATTTAATAATAAGGTACTATCTTACGAAATAAATTTAAAAATGTATACTCAAGTCATGTTTGTTGGCCTCGTTATTTTGGTTAGAAAAGAGTCATTCTATCAAGTGTATATTTTCATTCAATGATATCTTTTCGGTTCCCGAGATGCCTTTTTCGTCTTCTTTGGTTTAAGCTTTCCTATCCCTTTTTTTTTTATAATCTTTGTAAATGAATAGATAAACTTTTTAGTTTTTTCTATAAAAAAGATTATATGAGAGATAGGGATACAACTTACCTAATCATGGTAATAATAATTTTTTTTGTAAGAATAAATAGTAAAGATACGATTCAATTAAAGATCTTATGATAAACTATTAAGATCTTTACCAACTACATTAGTGACATCTTAAAAAAATATATCAATTGAAATTTTGAACCCTTAAACGTTCGATAAATATATCTATATTTAAGATGTACAAAAATTAATTTTTACCTATAGTATTGGTCAAAGATTGTAAAATCCATATCAGATAGTGACTTTGTAATGGATGTTTGAGAATGTCTTTGCTAAGAACAGTGATTTTCTAGTAGAGCAACCAAAATTCAAATGAGCTAATATATTTTTTTTAAAAACCCTAAAAATGAGGAGGATATCTATTTCAGCCATATCACTTTTATGCTCAAGTATAAAAACAAGAAAAGAAAAGTTGATATTATTAGCAAAAGAGTCCAGGAGACTAATATAGCTACATCTAAAAATATAATCATATTTTTTCTCTAAGCCTATGAATTTTTTTCTTGAAGATCTATTGGTGCCTCTAAATGCAATACAAGTGAATAGCTACTGTTAACATCCCAGTCAGTCAGATGTAATTTAAATCCACGTGCATAGAGAAGACTAAGATAGCCACCAAGTTGTCTCTAAAGCTCTCTCGAGGTAAGATGTGATTTGCACACGTGCTCTAGGGATGATCTACATGAAAATTGAGATAGAATGGGTTTTGTAATCCAATCACTTTTAACGTTGAAGTTAGTCTCCAGATCAATGACTAAAAATAGTATAAAATATCTTACATCGATTATTATACAAAAGATAAAATTTTACATCAAGTAAAAAGAAAAAAATTATTTCATGAAATATTCCTTGAAGGACCAACCTAAAACCATCCTTGATGTCCATATGAGCAAACCAAAGAGGCAAGTCTTATCTCCTTTATGCCAATTCAATGAGCACGTGGTTGACCATGTGTCGAACTATCATTGGTTGAGAATATCCTCTATCATTTATCCCCCTTCCCGAAGGTACACTTTGAGAGCTCTCCTAGAGGAGTCGAAGGTGTTACTCTTAGGTGGCATGACACATGGACTGTATAGAAGTGGAGGGGGGATCCCAAATTCTTGGCTAACCTAGTTGGGACAAAATATGCTCGAGGAGGTTCAGAACTACTCGGCTAAGTCAGGTAGGGAGCTCGATGAGGGAGTTTGATTGAGATTACCCGACTTGGTCACCTTGGGCTCTCACCAACGAGGTTGGGTCCGGGCTAGTCGACTTGATCGCCTCGAGCGCTTGTCGAGAAGCTCAAAACAAGATTGGTTGACCTGGTCATCTTAAGTGCTCAATAAAGAGGTTGTGTTGGGGATGGTCACCCCGGTTGCCTTAGGCGCTCACCTTAGAGGTCGAGATGGGATTAACTGACTTGGTCAACTTTGAATATGTTAGGATCGAGTCGGCACTAAGAGGGGGGGGTGAACTAGTGTAGCGGATAAAAGTGTCAGTTTAAAAATCTTTGTATGTTAAAAAATAATTTCGGAAGATAGCTTGAAAGTGTGTTTGTTCGTAAGGGATGTGAAAGCCAAGTAAGGAGGAAGTGAAGCAATTGTAAAGTAAGTAAATGATAATAATAGAAATGAAAACTAGAATTTATAGTGGTTCGGTCTTTATGACCAACATCCACTTTCGATTCTTCCTCCGTTGAGGTCACCGGCGTCCACTAGTGGTCTTCCTTTAATAAGCGAAGACCAATCATCTATTTACAGTATTTTTTTCTTTTCACGGGTTTAGGAGATAAACCTTACAAGCTTCGCACATCAATGATCACAACACTAGAAAAGGAGGAGGATGACTCTTTGCACTTTTATAACACTTTTAACACCCCAAGATTACAAGATATTGTTCATACTTTCGTGTCATTTCATGCAGAAAATGGTGGATATTTATAGGTCACAATGACTTCAGAATTGGAGTCAAAAAGTATCACATCCCCAGATTTCGGGGTACTAGCGGTACCACCGCTTGCAGACTGACACTGGGCGGTACCACCACTCAATCTAAGCGGTACCATCGCTTGACAAATCTCGGAGACTGAGCTCTGGAGGTACCACCGCTTGGCAGCATTAACTGCCAGTGGTACTACCGCATAGTCTGGGCAGTACCACCACCCAATTTGGGTAGCACCACAGCCCAAACTACTTGGGAGACTGACTAACCAAGTGGTGCCATCGCCGGCCGTAACTTCATGTGCTGAATGGGCTATTCAACCGGCCCAGTTCAGCCTTGTTAAGGGCTCAATTGGCCCTTAACTGAGTTAGTGGGATTACCTCCTAATCCTAACTCAACTTAAGGTCTAACTATGATAATTAAGACATTTAAACAAGCAATCTCTATCCGGTATGTTGATTGTTCTTTCGACGATCTTCCGACAAACTTCTCGACGAACTTCCAACAAACTTCTGGCAAACTCCTGATGAACTCTCAACGAACTCCCGACAAACTCTCGGCAAGCTCCCGACGAACTCTCGGCGAGCTTCCGGCACATTGTCCGAATCTTCGACATATCGTCCGATCTTTGACTCCGGCCCAACATCTGCTTTATGTCTTACTACTATCATAGTTAATCCTGTACACTTATCTCAACATATAGATTAGATCAAACACTTTACTAATTAATTTCATCATCAAAATCAGAGATTCAGCAATCTCCACCTTTTTAATGATGATAATCAATTAATGACGGAGTTAACTTTAACTCCTCTTATCTATATGTTATGCTTGAGAAAAGATATTCTTAAATTGAAGGCCTTTAAATTCAAGCATCATACCGATAAATTATATTCATTTAAACTTATCAAACATGCACAACATGATACTTATCATGATTTACCAATTCAAAATACAATACAACATATTTATCAATAAAAAATGATGTCAAGGCTTAACATCCATTTTCAAGTCAAATGATGATAGACAATCATCATGATACAAATTTCAAATATGAAATTTAGCAATATGAAATTTAGCAAGATGATAATTCTTGATAAAAGATAACAATTCATCATTTTGAGGCATGATATCGATTGTAAATAGCAAGCTAAGCTCATGATACCTTATCATAATGATAGACAATTATCATTCATATGAAATATATTTTGATATGTTTCAAGTGTTTGCGATGTATTGCGATGTTTTTGACGATTACAATTATATTTCAAGCATTCGCAAAACATTCAAGCATTTACAACAAGATATATTTTATACATTTATCTCAAACATTCATAATGGCAATTTGTCACATTTCTCCCCCTTTGTCATCAACAAAAAGGAGAACCATTCAACAAAAGGAGAACCATTCAACAGTGCAAGTGTGGTAAACAAAATTAAGCAAGTTTCACACCAAATTAAGCCATAAAGGAAGGTAAGCAAAAACTTTTCATGATAACCTTTTTGGATAAGCTAATATTTTTACTCAAGGGCTTTTTGGTTCTTCTTCAG